TCAGCAGGGCTGGTGTCCCACAGGGGTTCAGGCTGTCAGCCCCGCAGGGACTGTGTTTGGAAGAGCTCCATGCGAGGCAGCAAGCCACGGAGGGAACGGAGGTGGTTTGGTGCGGTCAGCTGCCATGAGAAGATGTGGCCTTAAATGATGCATTAGGTTGTTGGTTTTTTGTGTTTGTTTGTTTTTTGGTTTTTTTTTTTCCCCATTTGTATTCCTAACAAAGGGCCACGCGGGGATGGAGGCTGCAGTCACGCCAGAGTTATCCCCTGAGCTCCTCCACCAGCTTGAGTATTTCATAAGCAGCTTGAGGAGAGCTGTGCTGGAGTATTTATTTACATCCCATCGAGCCAGCGGGTGCGTGTGGGGTCGGAGCAAGCGCCGGACAGGGTGAGGGTGACATTCTCCCCCGCAGTGAAGCAGTCGTGGTGGGTTTCTGCTTCCCCTTGCCCTGTTCCCAGGTCCCAACCCGTTGCATTAAAGCCCACCACAGGCGGTCAGTGCTGTGGGGGTGTCCGAAGCCCCTGCTTGCCAGGTGGCCACAATCACGGCTCACAGCATGTGCTCTCCATGGCGTGAAGTTGGTATTTCCTGCTGGGATTATTTGAGTGTATCTCTCATCATCTGCAGCCTCTGTCCCCCGCTGGTGGCAGCGGTGTCCCCCCATCTGAGTGAGTTTGTGTGACTGACGGTGCCTGTGCTCGGCGCGGGTGATGGCTGATGCCGTGTGCCGGGGGATCCTCTGGCCCTGAGCTCTGCAGAGTGGGCAGCCCAACTGGGGACAGGGACGTGCACGGAGTAATACTGGTCGTGTTTTGCCGTTTGCATCAATGCGGTGCCCGCAAGTGCTGAGCGGGGAGCAGTGCCCCGCGGCCGCGCTGAAGGGGAAAGGTGGCAGAGCAGTTCCCGGGGGGGGGACCGCTCTGCGTGTCCCTGCCTGGTGCTCCTCTGGAAAATCCCTTCTTTGAGGGGATGAAGGAGATGGGATCAGCCCCCAAAGTGACTTAGCCGTGGCAGCGCCGGCAGCAGGAGCTGGCAGCTCACCAGCAGTGCCCAGCCACCCGCTAATCGGCTCTCTTGCATGCTGTGCCTCTCCTGTGGGAATTGGGCATTGACCTAAGGGGTGCCATTGGCAGGTCACCGCTGTCCCCACAAGGAGCCGGGAGATCAGCAGGTGCTGGTGAATGGATTCAGCTCTTCGCTTCCCTCCGTATTTGCCCCACTGTGACTCGCAGTGGCCAAAAATCACTTTGTGTCATTGCAAACGGAGTTATTCCCTGTCGTTGTCACTGGGGCGTGCGAGGACCCCGCGGATGGTCTGGCTCCACGGTGGCAGTGGGAAACGTCCTTTGGCTCTTGCCACGCAGGGTCCATGTGCAGCTGGAGCCCCTTGGCATCGTCCCTGGGGTCCCCCATGTGGGTGGTGGCCAGGCCAGGTCTCCTGGGCATCAGCCATGGGTGCCCTTGGCTCCTGCAGCCCTTTCCTGGAGAAGCAGCAGCTTTTAAGCAATATTGAGGGTTTTGCAGAAAAAAATCCCATGATGCTGTGAATGTAAGGAGCTGCCAGAACAGGCAGCTCCTGTGCAAAGCCGTCACGGTGCGTAGGAGCCCCGGTGCTGTCTGAGAAGGGGAGGGGGATGCAGGTTTGGTGTTTCATGGTACCTTTTGGCAACGATGGGAATGTGGAGGGAATTGCTGCATGGGTTTTTAATTTGAAAGGAAAGGCTGTAAGAGATTTCGCCATAAATGTGATCTGAAAAAAAAGATTAGGTCTGTTAGCAGGAGGGGAGTGGCATTTCTTTTAATGAAAGATTGAAACTCAGCCACAGAGGGTGTTTTCCTTAAACCGCAGATGAAAATGAAAACCCGTATCTCCAACGTGGCTCTTGCCGGGGACGCGGTGCAGTGCTGTGAGTTGGTGCTGCCCAGCGTGTGTGGGCTGGAAGGGGCTGTGCGGAGGCTGGTGGGGACAGCAACATCTGCGGGAGTGAAACGGGTCCTGCAGACCTGGAGAAAAGCTGGTATTTGTTGCTCCCCTGGCTGTCCTGAGGAGCTGTAAAGCGTTTTCCACGGGGTGGGAGGAAGGCGCTAACCTCCTTGTGTGCTCCTGTACCGTTCACCCTACAGCGAGCTCAGCCTTTCTGAGCTGCGGGGAGCCATCAGGTGTGGGGTTCATCACCCCAGAGCCCCTCTGCTGGGATGTGATCGTACCTGCAGGCAATGCCGGTATCCCCGGGACCAAGGGCATGGCACTGCCCTAAATAAATAACTAAGGTTAATGCAGTGTCTCGATGGGCCTGTGTGCTTCGCCCAAGCTCGCGGGTTCAATTCCTCCCTGCCCGGGGCTGTGGCCATGGGGCTTGGCTGCTGCCGGGGGGGTCTCGGCATATGGGTGGACTTTATCTGGGCTGCTTCTGGTGAAGGAAATGCATTTTTTTGTTTTGTTTTAATTTTTCTGGAGTGGTTTCGGACAATTGATTTTCTAAAATAGACTCAATGAGAGGAAATTCATTTGTTAAGCTGTCCCGTTCAGGGGAACGGGAGCACGGGGTGTAGATATGGTGCTTCCGTGGTAGCTTTATTTACGATTGCATCTGCTTTAGAGCAAAACCAGGCTTATAAACTAAATGCTTTCTCTCCCCCTCACCCCTTTCTCTGTTAATCAGGATTTAAACGGACAGAAGGAGCTGTGCCCGCGTCTGTGCCACCTGAAGAAAGGCCCCAATGGCTACGGCTTCAACTTGCACAGTGAGAAGTCCCGACCAGGGCAGTTCATCCGCTCGGTCGATCCCGACTCACCGGCCTCCAGAGCGGGGCTGCGGCCCCAGGACCGGCTGGTGGAGGTAACGGCACGGGGGCTCGGCACCTCCATTCCTGGGAAGCCTCTCGGGGTTCCCTCGGCACATGTCACACAGAGATGTTCAATCCTGCCCAGCCTGGCAGGAGCGGTCGGGTCCTGTCCCCATCTTGTGGGCGGGGAGAGGGACAGCAGAAGTGATGGGACCCTTGGGAAGCCTGAAGCTGAAACAAACCCCCGTCCTGTGACCTTTTCCATCAGATCCCCCCGTGTTCCTTCATAGTACGGAGCCATAAGACCGATGTGGGCGCTTAGGCAGTGGCTTTGAGGTCCTTTGAGAGCAGCTTTGTGGTCCTTTGGCAGCTCACGCAAAGTGGGCACTTGCGAGTGCTGAAATCGAGATGATGCTGCTGGCTCTGGCTGGCACAGAAGAGGGTCGGAACAGGTGAACTGCTGCCCCTGTGCCCATCACGGGGGCTCAGGGGTGGCAGTGGGAACCCGTGGATAGATGGGATGCTTGATGGGTGCCCGTCTCATCCCCCCAGCACAGCGAGCCCTGCACTCGGTGGCATTGCCTGATGCCACTTGGTGCTGGAGCTGGATCTGCCCTCTGCAGAGAAAGAGATGTGGGGACCTGTGGGACCTGTCCCACTGCCAGCGCAGGGGAGGGGGGTGGCCTCCTGCCCAGCCACCCTCTGGTCTGACGTCCTGCTGCGGGCATAGGGATGTGTTGGTGCTGCCCGGCTGAGCTGATGCCTGCCAGGCAGGTGTTAGGAAAGAGCGGAAAAGCTTTGCCGAGATTTTAAGATGCAAAATTGTGAAGGATGTTGCCCAGAGAAGCTGCAGAAGCTCCATCCCTGAAGGTGTTCAAGGCCAGGTTGGATGGGGCTTTGAGCAACCTGGGCTGGTGGGAGGTGTCCCTGCCCATGGCAGGGGGGTTGGAACTCGATGATCTTCAAGGTCCCTTCCAACCTAAACCATTCTATGAAACTACTCTTGGAAGCAGCTTCCTGGTCACTAGGTGCTGGACCACACAAGTTTTGATGGAATTGCCCTCCCTTCAGCTTGTTCGTCTTATGTTTTTCCTGAAGAATGAGGTTTCCCCATCCAGAGCTGCCTGTGCTTTGGGCGGGACTTGAGCAGCGTGCGGACAGAGGGACAGACAGGGCTTGATCCAGCAGCTGGTGCCCCAGGCACGGCATCCATCACCCCTTTCACTTCTGCGCTGCGGGAGGACCTGGGCGTCCCCTGCTCGGGGGGATGCGTGGCCCTTTCCCAGGCGGGTGA